CCACTGTCTATCATATATTATTTATATATAACTCTGATGTATAGACTAAGGAGTTATAGAATTAACCACTAAAGGTCCTTTATGTTATACTAGTTTAAAGAAAGTGAATGACTACGTTCCAGAAAATCCTATATTTTCTGCTTTACAACTGATAAGTAGTTTTCAATCCCCATAAAACTGATCTGATAGGTAGTTTTAAATCCCCATAAAACTCATCTGATAAGTAGTTTTAAATCTCCATAAAACCGTTCTGATAAGTAGTTTTAAATCCCATAAAACCGTTTCGTTTTGATTATGGAAAGTGATTACTACAATAGTATTTCTTAAAAAGAATAAACTACTGGTGAATAACTACCCTAATATTAACCTGGTTAATTAGGGTTAAAATGTGATAAAGTTGTAACCATGCTGGACTAGAATGAACACGACGACCTACTGGCGTCGAAACTGAATATGTGACATTTGTCACCCCATGGCTGGTCTGCCGGACTGTAGCTAACAGTCGGGATGTGGGATTGTCAATCTCGTATAGATCTATACACACAATGCCCGCTCTCCCTCCAGGAGACTCTGGTTACAAGAATGTAACATAACAAGTATATTGATATGTCCTGAATACGTACCATAACATTTTAGTTTGAGTAAAGATCGAATTATATCCTTTTCTAGACAAAGTAGTTTAGACCTCGTATACTTATCTAGAAAATAGATTTCTCGTTTGTTTAAAAAATTATACTTATTATAATTTATACGGTCTATCTGATTAGCATCATCTCTCCTGAATATACCCCTTTGCTCAGCATGATACGAAGGTAATGATACCGACTAAAGTAACCTTTTATATTCCCATATGTATAATGTATATAATTAAGAAGGAAACGACTTTCGGAAAAATAACCCCACCTTAAGCCCACATCCAGACAAGGAAAAGGAAATAAGGCAACTCATTAGTCCTAAGCCCTTTAAGTCTTATTTATATACTTATACATATATGAACATGATTTTGATAATTATAAGTTAAAAGAGTTATAAATACATTTTAAAGTGTTTAACGGTGTCTTAACAGAGCTTATGTGATTGTAAAAAATAACGATTCAAAGCATTAGGAAATCTTTGATGTGATTGATATCACAAGTATTTACTAACACAATTGGATTGTGTTCAACTTGTATCCCCCCCCCCCCCCCGCCCTAAAAAGCATTTAAAATCATTTAAAAGGTAGATTATAGGGGTATGAACTAACCTGATGTGAGTGATTCGGATGAAAGTTTGATATAGGATGCTAAGTATGCCAAGTGAAGTCCCGAGCAAAATGGATCCTATTAAGCATATAATGACACATATATGTATACAATTAGTGTATATAACAACTAACATGCTAAGGTAAACAACCTTAGGAACTAGGAAACACTTGAAATGAAGTGTTACAATGACATATGATTGATTAAAGGGAGTTCACGGCCACACAAGGAAGTGTTCACGGCCTTAGAAGGGTTCACGACCATGGAAGGAGGGTTCACGGCCAAACCATGATCCTATGAAGGGTTCACGGCCCAATGAAGGGTTCACGACCGTGAACTCTTGAAGAAGCATGCCAAATAGGTGTTTGTTTCATGGGGATGCTAGTGTTTCTAATGGACATCAAGAAGATGAATGAGATACTTACTTATTGGAAGTCTTTAAGGTGTTCACGGCCCAAGAACTAGTATGTGTTTTTGGTGTTTTGGGTGGAAAGGATGGTGATTTGAAGATCTTGAAGGAAAAGTGATGAATTCAAGGATGTTATCAAAAGGCTTCATGTGAATAAGAAGAATAACTACCAAAAAGGGGTGTATCACTTACGTTTTTGAAGAGAATGGAGGGTTTCCCTTGATGATACTTGAGAGAGTTTGAGAGTTCTTGGTTGTAAGATGTAAGAAACAAGTAAATAATGAAGGAAAACTATGTATATGGAGAGGGGTTCACAGCCAAACATGGGTTCACGGCCGTGAATCTAGTTTGCGGCCGTAAACATCCCTAGATGATGTTTCTGGCTCGAATGTAACTCAATGAACTCAAGCAAACGTTTCCTAACACACAATCCTTGAGTGTACTAGGCTTAGAACACTTCAACAGACCCTTAACAAGGCTAACAGATAACAGAAACAAATCTGACTTTTGATTAAATTGATTGACATTACAAGATAGGAATTTCGGGTTGTCACAGGTAGTTTAGTAAACTTTCTAAGAGCTTGACAACAACAAAAGTGACACTTCAACCTCTAAACTGTTCACAAACAAGGATTCTTTGTTGGGATGGATTTTCGGTTGAACAAGAAACTATATACTTTTATATTTTCTTCTTGTTTTCTTTCTTAAACATAGGTGCGATTAAATCCTTACTGTAGAGGTGGCATACTTGTTGGGTTTACCCACGTGTATTACATCAGATTTATCTAATTGCTTCTTGCTTTGATTGATTTACCACAAAAGTGTGATATTTTTGTTATTGATTCAAAACCAGTATTTAACTAGTTCAATAGTATACTATTTTTAATTATGACTACGAACATGCCATACAATTGGTTGGAATGGAGCTAATTGTATGTAACTCGATAATGGAGATGAATATATCTTTCAACTTGGCTAAATGTGTGGAACTTTGTGTGAAGTTCGTGCTTAGCTCTTGCCCTCGCATCACTATCTAATTGGAGTCCCATTAGTCAATGTTTTGTAATAACATGCTACAATTACCTACTTCAAATCAACCACATGACTTCTTTTAATTTTTCTTTCATACACTTCGTTTTTCCATGTGTAGAGGTCTACTTTTGTGTAGAGGTCTCCAACATAAATGTAAGAAATAACATCTTACTTCCATCTATTTGTGCTTTATAACATCGCATGGTAGAAAAAGAGTTACTCGCAATTGTGAAAGAATTACCCAAAATTTCTTATGAGGCAATTGACTTTGACAAATCCATCCGATTATAACACTCTAGACTCATTTTTTCATTTATTATAACGTTGCACTTCCATTTTTGCTTAGTATGACATTGTAGTTTCAGATATCCAATGAATTGTAATGTTCTTTCTTTTCTTTTCAAGTAGCCAAACTAGCCTTTGTTGGCCGTGCTAAGCACGAGCCTCAAGAATTACTTGCTACATATAAAAGTTTTAGGTGGTTTGACTCATTACGTAGTTAGCACGAGCCTCAAGAATTACTTGCTACATATAAAAGTTTTAGGTGGTTTGACTCATTACATAGCACTTATGTGTTCCCAAAATATACATACATATAATCACATGTAGTAATCAAAAGGATTTACGGCTGGAGTATTTGTGCAAAGAATATTAAATTATCAATAGGGAAAAAGATTTACCACCTGGAGTTTGTGCAAGGAATATTGAATTTTTAATAGACTAAATCTGAAGTGGATTTGTTTAGGAACATATATATGTTACTAATGTTTCGTTAACGTGACACTAATATAAGCATTGCTGATAAATTAGCCACGAAATGTAATTTTGTTTCTAATATTTCATTAAATGGTTACGAGTTTCACTAGATTGGTCCCGATGCAGTCGCATACCCGGCACGTGCCCAAAACCGGCCCTGATGATCGTGTTCATTTGTCGAATGTGCATCTTAATCGTTGTTCATCCCTATCAACTCAATTAGTATAAGAGCAATGACCGAAGCTGGGAAAATTAAGATCGATAAATTTGAACTAGTCAATAAAAGAAGAAATAACGTACAACATACAACCCTATGAAAACTATATAATTCCATTGTACCACCAATCAGATGTCTAGATTAATAATATCATTCTTCTAACATGGAGTGAAGATGGTGTCCATTTTTCGATGATTTGACTATCAATAGTGGGAAAGGAGAAGGGTTGTGAGGGAAATGAAATCCAGTAACCCTAGATATCTTTTATATGGATATTTATTTTAATTCATTTTGCAAGAACTAGTAGCGATGCCGTACTGATACTGATATATGTTGCTAGTGTGTTGCTAACTTAGTTGACTATAGCGACACATGTAATTCCATTGCTAAGGTGTCATTAAATGGTACCTAATTCATCACTATATTTCTTTAATTAATAGCATCGGTCTCTAATCACTAGTACTTTGTTCCTTCTTTCATTCTGAAATCATTAGATACAGAGCTTATCAGACCATCACTGACACTCAGTTTCTGTAGTGATATAAATTATTGTTTCTTAATAAATATCATAAATCTCTAATATTTTAATACACATTTCTCAAAATGTATGTGTTATTGAGAAAAAACACGTATGCAGTACACGGATGCAACGATTATGTGGTTTGCTTGGGTAGCTGGGTTTTTTGGAAGTAGATGCAATGAATATGTTTGCACCAGTGGGAGTTAGCAGACATACTTCTTTCGCTGTGTTTCATTCGGCATCCCCAACAAACCTTACAGGCTTTTTTCGGAAGGAAATGCAATTAATATTTGCACCATTGCTGGAAAAGCTTCTGTTAGTTGGGTCTCATGATGCATCCCTTCCGGAAATTCCAATTTCATGTTCACAATCTGTCCTCACCAAATCAAAAATATTAGAAACGTACCAAATAAATGTAAGTTTTTATATTTGTTTCAATATGGAACTTAAAATTATACGTTATAGGTCTATGAAATTTTTTGTAATTGGGAATGAAACCAATCATTCTCAAAATTTTATCTCGGTAATTGTCTATATGTTTTTGTTTGATAACCCGATACGCTATTTGTATTGTACAAGTCAAATCAAAACTTACCTAAAGCAAAATATGTGTGTTTTATTTGTTTAAAATAGGAAAGGATTAAAATATTTAATTCTAGAGGTCACGTGGATTTATTGGCAAGTGTTCGTTAGGTCCCAACATCAAAATGAGAATTTGATATACTCGAGCGATACACTTTCTATAAATTACCACCATACAACCATCACTCAACACACACATTCCAATCTCAAAGTGATCAACACCATTTCTAGCATCACCTGAAAATGGTTAACATTGAGGAGTTCCGCAAGGCCCAAAGAGCCGAAGGTCCAGCAACAATTCTGGCTATCGCCACCGCAACCCCTCCTAACTGTGTTCTTCAAAGCACATATCCAGATTCCTATTTTAGTGTTACAAAAAGCGAGCACATGACAGAACTCAAGGAAAAATTTAGACGCATGTGTACGTTATATATATGTATCATAAACGGTTCTTGTTGTTGTAATTGTGGTTCATATTGTTAAATTGATTGTTTTTGGTAATGTTTCAGGTGAAAAATCCATGGTCAAAACACGATACATGTACTTTACAGATGAAATGTTACAGGAGAAACCAAACATTTGTGCCCACATGGCACCATCATTAGACGAAAGACAAGATATATCAATCGTGGAAATACCAAAGCTTGGTGCAGAAGCTGCAACTCATGCCATCAAAGAATGGGGCCAACCGAAGTCAAAGATCACCCACGTCGTGTTTTGTTCCATAACGGGTGTTGACATGCCTGGAGCTGATTACCAGCTCATAAAGCTCCTTGGCCTTAATCCTTCGGTAAAACGTGTGATGTTGTATCAACAAGGGTGTTTTGCTGGAGGCACTGTCCTTCGTTTAGCTAAGGATTTGGCTGAGAACAATAAGGGTGCTCGTGTATTGGTTGTGTGCTCTGAGATAGTTGCAGGAACTTACCGTGGGCCTGGTGAAGCCCATCTTGATGGCCTTGTAGCCATGGCTTTGTTTGGTGATGGTGCAGCTGCGGTCATTGTAGGCGCTGACCCTATTCCTGATGTTGAAAAGCCACTTTATGAAATCGTTTCTGGATTCCAAACTATTCTCCCTCAAAGTGAGGCTGCAATTGAAGGGCACCTTCGTGAGGCCGGGCTTATAATTCATCTACTCAAAGATGTTCCTGGACTTATAGCAAAACACATTGAAAAAAGCTTGGTTGAGGCCTTTCAACCATTGGGCATTGTAGATTGGAACTCACTTTTCTGGATCGCACATCCAGGTGGCCCTGCGATCTTGAACAAACTGGAGGATAAACTAAGCCTTAAGCCTGAGAAATTAAGGGCCTCACGACACGTTCTCAGTAAATATGGAAACTTGTCAAGTGCTTGTGTCTTGTTTATCCTAGATGAAATGCGACGCTCTTCGGCTACAGATGGGGCTAAAACCACGGGAGAGGGTCTAGAGTGGGGTGTGTTGTTCGGGTTTGGACCAGGTGTCACCGTTGATACCGTTGTCCTCCATAGTGTGTCTATTTGATAAGCTTCTCGTGTTTGGTATGGTGTGCAAAACTCTTTGAGCTTGCATTAAATAATTTACACTGTACTTTTTCCTTTTTATCATGCCAATAAATTAATAATAGCAAGGATCTTTTGTGCGTTATTTAGCTACTACAACAAAATCGTAATTAGTGATGAAAATAATATGGTCGGTCACTGTTGATATTATCACTAAGGGTAGTTTGATAGTTCTTTACTGGGTTAGAGCTGACTGAGTTAAAAGCTGACTGGGTTAGAAGTTCTGACTAAGTTAACTTATGACTGAAACTTGTTGTTTGATTTTGCATCTGACTGACTACTGTGCAAAACAACTATCTTACCCTCAAACAACATTTTTTTTATAATAATTCGTTTTTGATTTATCATTTAATTTAAAACATTACATTTTTTATAAACATTACATGAGAGCAAACACCTTCTAAGTTCCATAAATAAAAAATAAAACTAAATGCAATCTCATAACAAACAAAAAATTAAATTACACAATTGAGTTCTTGCATCTACACGTTTAAGTTGAGAGATTATATATATAGTTCTACCGATTACACAATGTAGAGCTCTACCCCTACAACAAGATTAAACACTATTTCAGAATACTGTTATGAAGAACAAGATTTTCTCTGCTTGAATCTTATTGAATCTTGTCTTAATATGTTGTTTTTCCGACACCTTAATCTTTTTCTACAAAAAATAAATAAATAACATATTCTTCTTGAATACAGTAGTGAAGGTAGCCCACAAATGTTGTTAAAAAAACAAACATCACTTTCACTAAATATAATATTGTACCATAGTTTGATTGATGTAAAACACACCCTTAACTTTCAACAAGAGTGCATCAGATCATACAAATCACTGAATTTATATAAATATAATAATTGGATGTTGACCTGCAAAATTTTGCAATCTATTTGCTAACTTTATGATCACAATTCACAAGTATAAACTCAGTACATGTAAATTATCAATTAGGGATTAAGTAATTATATTTCACTGGCTACCATGGGATTATATCTTAAACATGGTCCCTAATTGAAGCTTATGTCAGTTTATCAGTTACCCAACTACTAAAACTAGGTTTGTTTCACTGATATAGATGGACAAGTATTGTAAAACTCCAATCAATCAGAGTTGAAACACATTTGACAAAGACATAATCAGTGTCATATATTGTTAGAAATTCATAATTAAAAAATGGATTTAAGAAATTCAAAATCAAAGTTCAGCAAACAATTTGAAAGAAATCGATTTTAGGGAAAAGAGAGAAAATCAAAACACACATGGGATGATTGGAGAAAGAAATAGGTTTAAGGTGAAGAGAGCCGAAAGCTTACCTATGATATCATCCGATTGAAATATGTGAAAGTTCAATTAAAAACATCTCGATTATACAGATATACGAAAGAGATAGAATTTAGCATATATTTTACAAAATACAAAAAACACAATATTTTAGTAGTGTCGATCAGGACAAAGTGGCGAGACATCTTGTTCAAAAAAAGAAAAACAAACATGTTGATGTTGTTCACGATAATTGTTGATGTTGTTGACGGTTGTTCGACTGCTTTGGATCGCTAATGGAACGTCTTCTTGTTTCGTCGCTGGAAGTTTAACGTGGGAGGGGATGAAATCAGAACCTCACGTAGGGCAACGACATGTTCTTGATTTTTTTTCCTCAGTCCATCAAGTAGAAAGCAAGGACCGAGTCCTGTGTTTTTGGTCGACGGAGTCCCTACATCTATAATGCCTATCAAACATGCCAATTGGTATTTTATGGACCCAGTCCCTCTTTGGACCCAGTTAGATACCATATCAAACGATCCCAAATAGTAAAATGGTCATTAAATATAATCGAAAAAACATCATAAATGGTCCCTGCGGTTTCTCCAGATTTGAACTTTAGTCCTTGTGGTTTAAAAACATAATAAATGGTCCCTGTGCTTTCAAAACTTTTCACGATTGGTCCTTATTGCCAACTCCTTTAAGTTTTGTCTGTTAACTAACTGAAGGTCATTTTTGTCATTTCACTACCACGGGAAAAATTTATGATGTTTTCTCTTATTTAAAAAAATGAAATAATATGCAAAGGGGGTCTCTCTCTCTCTCTCTCTATCTATCTATCTATCTCTCTCTCTCTCTCTCTCTCTCTCTCTCTCTCTCTCTCCGTTTCTTCCCATGTTCATGTACATAAATCTATAAACCACCATGATCAAATTCTTTCCTAGATCATTACTTATACGAGTCGTCATCATGAAATTATCATCCAATTCAATCCAATATTTTGCCTTATTCTTCATCACCATCCTCCCAACACCAGCATATGAATCATAAATTCTAACAAAGAACAACCATTTTTTGGGAATTTGGGGAGGAATCAACAAATCTTCCAAAACCCCCGATGATGCTCTCAATACACCCATGTCATATTTTCTCATTTTTCTTGCACATGCATGAATGCGAACGAAATGGAAGATCTTGGTTGAACCCCACTCTACTCGATGATCATGCTTCCTCCTTAGTACATGAAAAAAGTGCTCATGACCAAATACGAAATCAAGATATCAAAGCTGAAATCAAATCTTAAAGCCACTTAAAAATAATACAAGAAATCAAAGCTCAGAACCGGACCTTATAATAAAAAACATAAATGAAATTAATACCACCGAAGATGATTCTCACCTTGCTAATTTTACGGATAACAGATTTGGGTGCGTAATGAAGCAGAAGCCGTCAGAGATTGAAATTCGGTTGATTTTTTCGCCAAATACGAGAATACTCGTGTCCAGATTCGTGGATAATAGAGATTGAAAGAAGCAGAAGCCGATTTGGGAGAAAAAGGACGTCGGGGCAGTTGAACCCTAACCCTTAAATCTCTTTTGCTATGATAGATCCGCTGCCACCATCGACCTCATACGTTCCCTTCAAGCCACCTTCTTCAATATAAGACATTTCGAAAAAAATATCAACATGCTCAGAGAAAGAAGAAGAAATGTGCTTGTTGGTGCGTTTCGGTTATAGAGAGGAACAACAAGAGAGAGAGAGAGAGAGAGAGAGATAGAGAGAGAGGGAGAGAGAGAGAGAGAGAGAGAGAAGGGAGGGAGAGAGAGAGAGAGTGTGTGTGTGTGTGTGAGAGAGAGAGAGAGAGAGAGAGAGAGAAAGAGAGAGAGAGAAAGAGAGGGTGGGACCCCCTTTGCATATTATTTCATTTTGTTTAAATAAGAGAAACATCATAAACGATCCATGTGGTAGTGAAATGGCGAAAATGCCCTTCAATTAACAGATATAACTTAACAGAGTTAGCAATAAGGACCAAGTGTCAAAAGTTTTCAAAGCACAGGGACCATCTATGATGTTTTTAAACCACGAGGACTAAACATCAGATCTAGGAAAACCACAGGGACCATTTATGATGTTTTTTCAATATAATCACTAATCAGTAAGAATTGTCGCTCCTTTGTCTAAATAGCTAGTGACCTGTTTTGTGATCATATTAAAAGTCATTCATTTTTATTACTCAGTTACCAAATAGTCATTAAATATTTAATTTTTGAAACAAAAAATAATAATAAATAAATAAAAAAAATTGGTCACCAAGTATTTATTATTAGAACAAAAGAAATGTCAATAAATAAAACATTATTTAATGCATCTATAAGATATAATATTCTCTTTTGTACATAAATTATAATAAATGATGTTGAATTATAAATCTTAAGATCACTAAATATTAGAGTATTTTCCAAGACCAAATAAAAAAAATAACAATAATTGCTTCCTAAGTTTGAATATTCTCTCTCTTTTTTTAATTAGATCCTTGAAGATGACACATTGACATACCCACACACTAATTCTCGCGCAATCAAAGATTGCATTTGGAGAAATGATTCACAACCTTATCCTCGTGTGAAAACTTCAAGAATCCCTTGCAGAAACTCTAACCATAGTTCTGATAAACCCGTCATAACCTCATGACTCTATTGTCCGCCGACGTTCTCTGACTGCACATTAGTCCCCCATTCTTTCGTTGGGCATTCAGTCCGACCTTTGGAATCAAGTTCTTAATCTACAATATAGACAACTGATTTTCTCAAAACTGGGTCGAAGACTCGACATGATCTCGACTCCGGCGATCGAACCGAAGAATAATCAATCTCGAACATCCTTATACTGATAGACAGAAACGGTTTTCTGCGAACCTTACTTATCCCCTTAGGAAGGGAACCGATGCGGAGAACACCAGCCCTTTGTTATATCTACCGACTGACACGCATCCACTCTCTTCTCCATCGAAGACTGGAGACTGGAAGAACATAAAATGTCATAGAAAATGACATCCCAAGCCATCGGGCGACCACCCAGCCTCAGGCTGCAATCCTCGAGGCGATCAACACAATTGCTTCCTACTTAAGTCATACGACTCAAACTAGCACTACTTCAAACAAAGCACTCGAAACCTTAGGACCAACCAATCTTTCAGACATTCGCACACTTCAGACCCAATTTTTTATGGCCACTTTGGCTTGGACAACTACTAGACCCATCCTCATCCTAAGTAACCATAACCGAAATGTTTCCAAAAATGAAAAAGGGACACCGCTAACCCTAGTGCTATACCACACAATTTACCGACAACCATCTTTCTAGTAACCTTGTGACTTTTCTTGATCCTCATACGGATCATGTGCTTCCGGTAGTACGATCCCATACTACCTTCCTCACCTAACTGTATTTGTCTCAGGAATCATCCTAAAGTTATATGTCACTACACCCGACCACCGACAGGTGTACTAACACACATCTATACGCTCAGAAGAGCTACAACTAAACTTCCTAGATTCTCATCCTAGGGTTCTCCTCGACCACGCTCCAGCACCACTAGAAGTCTTCACTAATACCACTTTTCGCCTCATGTATGCAAGTCATACATAATGCAGAATCAAACAGCCGGTCAAATACATGATTCTACCCAAAGTCCACAAC